ACAAAAACACATCAAAAACACACAAAATGTTAGGAAGGTTGTACCAGAATGGGATACTCCACTTTTTTTTTGGAAACAGGCTCATTTTACAACTCCCTCAGAGTTAAACAGTTGAGTTTCACCGTTTTCAAATGCTTTCAGACGATTTTCTGATATTTAGAAGAATATCAGTAACCAGACAGTTTCTGGTCTCATGGAAGTCAATGAGACCAGAAACTGTCTGGTTACTGATATTCTTCTAAATAACATAAAATCGTCTGAATGGATTCGAAAACGGTAAAACTCGATTGTTTAACTCTGAGGGAGTGGTAAAATGAGCCTATTTCCAAAAAAAAGTGGAGTATCCCTTTAAGAGCTCGCTCAAGTACTGGGGAGCTAAACTATTTAGTGCTTTGTAAGTTATCAGCAAAATATTAAAATTTATACAATGTTTAATAGGCAGCCAATGCAGGGTTGACAGAACCGGGCTAATATGGTCATAGTTCCTGGTTTTGGTAAGAACTCGAGCTGCTGCGTTTTGAACTAGCTGAAGTTTGTTTATTAAGCGTGAGCAGTAGAGCATTACAATAATCAAGCCTTGATGTCATGAACGCATTGTTCTGCTTTTGTCAATGAGTGCATGGCGTAATTTAGATATATTTTTAAAATGGAAAAATGCGGTTTTATAGATACAAGTGACTTACAAATGAGAGATTGATATCAAAGAGCACACTGCTTGGCACAACAGGCTTTTAAAATATTGCAGGATTACTTTATGTAATTCATAGGGCAGTCTTTCGCCACATGAATGGATTGGCTGCTTCTTATAATTAGTCTACTCTTCCAAACCGTCATGAAGAAACTGTAGTGGTCTGTGATATGACTCCTTACTTCACCTAATTGTCTGCACTAATTCCCTTCTGCCTCATGTACTAGAGTCATGACCTTTCCTCATGAGACTGTGTCATGTTTCTCAAAGCTATCGCAGACTCCTCCAACTATTTCTTCAGGAAAGTTTGTGTGTAGGCTACTACTTATATGATGAATGAGTGCCACCATAAATGAAAGAAAAATGAATGTTTTTTTTTTCATTTAGTGATGCACATTTGTCTGTGCTGTTATTTTATCGTTCTGATGCAACATAATGTCTCTAAATGAAACAAATCTCTAACAATTTAGTTTAATTAGTGCTTCTGCATAGCTGTGACACTATCTTGTTTACAACTTGCAGTTAACACAGAAATGCTTGTGTTTTATTTGACCTCAAGTTTTGAACAAAATCTCAACACATCCCATCCTTGTAATCCAAATCATGAATAACAAAGGGGACACAATGAAGTTACAGTACATGGGAGAATCTTTGTTGAGTTAGCACTCTAAAAACCTTGGTTGGGATTCCCATATGTTGGAAGTTAGACCATGACGGTACATTAATGCAGCAAATACGAACAATTACATGTACAATTAGGAAATTATAAGGTTTTGGTTTTTTTTTCCCCTTCAAAAAATGTAATAACATCTTATGTTATCATGATACTTTGATTGGATTGAGATTGTAAAACAACTATACTAGTACAACGATTCGTTGTTAATGTCGAATGTTAACCGAAATATCGTAATATCTTTCCAACAGAACTTTAGCTATGAAAATGGGATTACATATTTCTTTAGTGCTCCAAGTTTTTTTACTGAACGCCTGGATGTCTTTATTTATTACGATATATGTAAGTTATTTATAAAGCCCAAAAAGAAAGGAATTCTCGGATGAATTCATCCTGAATAATTCAGTCTAAAATCGTTAATCCCATACAAGGTTGTGGCAGGTTTCTCCTCTGTTCTAATGAATACTTTATTATCATCATCCCAAGCTTCAAACTGGAAAGATTGAACAAATAAATAAATCAAGGGCAAGCTTCAAGCTTGCAATTAACACACAATGACCAATCAGCAAAACTTTTATGCAATTGAATGTATTTTTAAACAGAGATTTCCATGAAATATGGAAAGATGGTTTACTTTGCTTAACAAAACAACTTTGTTTTAAATACAGACAAAAAGTTTATATAAGTTTATACACTCACCGGCCACTTTATTAGGTACCCCATGCTAGTAACGGGTTGGACCCCCTTTTGCCTTCAGAACTGCCTCAATTCTTCGTGGCATAGATTCAACAAGGTGCTGGAAGCATTCCTCAGGGAGTTTGGTCCATATTGACATGATGGCATCACACAGTTGCCGCAGATTTGTCGGCTGCACATCCATGATGCGAATCTCCCGTTCCACCACATCCCAAAGATGCTCTATTGGATTGAGATCTGGTGACTGTGGAGGCCATTTGAGTACAGCGAACTCATTGTCATGTTCAAGAAACCAGTCTGAGATGATTCCAGCTTTATGACATGGCGCATTATCCTGCTGAAAGTAGCTATCAGAAGTTGGGTACATTGTGGTCATAAAGGGATGGACATGGTCAGCAACAATACTCAGGTAGGCTGTGGCGTTGCAACGATGCTCAATTGGTACCAAGGGGCCCAAAGAGTGCCAAGAAAATATTCCCCACACCATGACACCACCACCACCAGCCTGAACCGTTGATACAAGGCAGGATGGATCCATGCTTTCATGTTGTAGACGCCAAATTCTGACCCTACCATCCGAATGTCGCAGCAGAAATCGAGACTCATCAGACCAGGCAACGTTTTTCCAATCTTCTATTGTCCAATTTCGATGAGCTTGTGCAAATTGTAGCCTCAGTTTCCTGTTCTTAGCTGAAAGGAGTGGCACCCGGTGTGGTCTTCTGCTGCTGTAGCCCATCTGCCTCAAAGTTCGACGTACTGTGCGTTCAGAGATGCTCTTCTGCCCACCTTGGTTGTAACGGGTGGTTATTTGAGTCACTGTTGCCCTTCTATCAGCTCGAACCAGTCTGGCCATTCTCCTCTGACCTCTGGCATCAACAAGGCATTTCCGCCCACAGAACTGCCGCTCACTGGATGTTTTTTCTTTTTCGGACCATTCTCTGTAAACCCTAGAGATGGTTGTGCGTGAAAATCCCAGTAGATTAGCAGTTTCTGAAATACTCAGACCAGCCCTTCTGGCACCAACAATCATGCCACGTTCAAAGTCACTCAAATCACCTTTCTTCCCCATACTGATGCTCGGTTTGAACTGCAGGAGATTGTCTTGACCATGTCTACATGCCTAAATTCACTGAGTTGCCGCCATGTGATTGGCTGCTTAGAAATTAAGTGTTAACGAGCAGTTGGACAGGTGTACCTAATAAAGTGGCCGGTGAGTGTATATTTCCATTATATATATATATATATATATATATATATATATATATATATATATATATATATATATATATATATATATATATATACGTACATATTTGCCTGAAAGTGTCCATTTATAAGTCGATTTTATTTGAAAAATCAAATGGTGTGATATCAATGCCTGTGCCAATTATCGGGACCATGGGGATTTTAAATTATCAAAGATGAAAAGAGTTAGAGGCCAATCTGTCTACTTTGTTCAAATCATCCGTTACTTCACTCCTCTCACCAGGGGTTAGGATTAGACTGTCAAACACCATTTGTCTTTCTTCCATTTTAAAAAAGGTTTTAAAAAGTTAGCATCTAGTTACGCAGGGAGTCGCACATGTCTCAGGTGGCTCTAAATGGCACCAATTCCTCGTTGATGGCAAGCCATTTTAACTGTTAAATATTTTTTTCTGCTTGTTCAGTAGCAAATATTGACCATATCTTTCCACTTTCACTTGTAGATATTAATTAAATACTACTTTTGCCTTTTTATAGCCATAGATAGTGCAATTTTTTTTTTATAGCGTGTATGAGTGAAGACAGTGCGGTGTGCGCGAGCCACACGAGAAAACACCATATCCGGTAACTAGGGGCCAGATTTACACACAGCTTGCGCCAGCGCAAATCCTCTTTGCGCGTTAAAAACCTACTGTCATGATTTACTAAAGACCCAGTGAAATAATAGCGTTGAAAAAGCGTGGACAGGGTTATTTTTGCGGCTGACCTTACTGCATATGCATTTGTTGTCGCAAATTTATGGGAGGTGCTCACTCTGTGGTCTTTGTGGGTTCTATATGTTGGGGATATGTGAATGTTGGGGACACTATACTGTAAAAAAAAAAAACACCACCCTTTGGATGAGAGGTTAAACCAAGGTCCTGACTCACTGTAGTTATGGCATAAAAGAGTAGGGGTGTAAGCCCAGCGTCCTGGCTAAATTCCCTCCATTGACTCATTATAAATCATGGCATTCTAACAGTCCTCATCCATTGAATTGGGTTTATCACTCTTTATCATCTCCTCAACATATAACTAATGTATGGTGAGCGCACTGTGACTTTTATCATCATGGATGCTGCAAACTAGTGGGGGGTGATGAGAGACCACTGATATGACTGTAAAGAGCTTTGGGTATAGAACAATACATAATAAAGTGCTATACAAATGCTTCATTCATTCATGCTAATTCTTCTTTAAGAACTACACTGTAAAAAAAAATATTTTTTTAAGATTTGTAATCTTTTGTCAAATCAACTTAGATAATTTATAGTTCAGATAACATAATATTTTGAGTTTCTAGTGATTAAATGAATCACCTTCATTGTATTAACTCAATTTTTCCATTTCAATGAACTTAAAATTTTAAGGCAGCCAGGTTACTTATTTTTTTAAGTTGAACCAACTATATTTTTTTACAGTGTAACTCTGATTATTTGGTTAGGGCTACTGGTATGCAAATAGTTACCAATGTCTATTCCAGTTCCATAATCTTTAAATAGTGTTGCTTATATATCTCTATGTAGCTACTGCAAAAAATTGTTACATATTTTCATGATTTTCAAATCAATTTACATATTTTTTTTGTGATTCAGATATTAACTTTATTATTATTATTATTTCTATTAAATTAAAATTTTAAGACAACCATGTTACTTTAAGTTAATCCAACAATGTTTGTTTTTACAGTGTAGCAATTATAAAATAATGCTAATTATAGTATTAATAAGTATAATAAGTAATACATGTTAAAACAGCTTGCCATATTAGTCACTTAATGAAAAACAATGCTTCACTGACTGTGAATTTTAGAAATAGCATTGAGCTAACGGTTTAGCCCCTTGAGTATTTATATTTATCATGACTGAGTGGTTCAAACTTAAGTCCTGGTCTAAAGGTTATTGTAAGGGCTCAAATTATTAATGCATGTAAAAATCATCTTGTGTTTCCACAGGGAACAATATGTCAGTCAAACAATAAATGCAACCGAATAAAACAACTTATAGCCAACATGCGCTTGGGAGCATTTCAGCACCATGGACAGCGATTTTGTTTTCTTATTCTTTTTCATCACAAAATGACTTTTTATTACTGAGGGGTGTCAGATGACCAACTGAGACTTCAGATTGGGGGATATTGTGTACAGTGCTATTATACAGCAGTGGTTACTTTCTTTTACAGACTTTTTTTTTTTAGTGAAAAGGTGCCAATCTTCCTAAACCTACATTGCTGTGTTGGCAAATTCTAATGTATAAAGTTCAGACTTTCAGGAGGTCTCATATTACAACAGCTCACAGAATAAAACTAATAAATAAGACATTACCACAATTAGAATCTAAGCCTATGATAGTGCAAAAAAAATGCATGAAAAGAAAAAAGAAATGTGTCACAGTTGCTGAGAGGAATTAATAGGTTCTGAGTGTTCATGGTAGGTATTCTGTGAGGAAATGGCTTCGGTCCATAACTCTGAGGAGTTGCTGAAAGTTTGGTTGAAGTTGGAGTGCCTGAATAAAGGATCATGAAACACACCATCAACCCAGTTTCTCAGTGTGGCCACTGGAGACTCTTGTTTCCTCTTTATTACGTCGGAGTCTGAGTCACAGTTTGAAGAAGAGCACGACGTTCCTTTATGCATGCATGATGAGTAATCGGCTTGGTTTAATGACGTAGCAGTCTGTGCAAGAGACCAGATTTTTGGCTTGGTCTCAATAGTCTTTTGGCCCTGTTGAAGGTAGAACTTTGCCGTTTGGTGGTCTTCACTAAATTCATGGACATCTCTGGGAAGCTCGGTAACGTTTTCTTTAAAGCAGTTATCTTGAGATTCGCTGGTCTCTGAGCGAGCGCGCATGACAAAGGATGGTTTCGATTCGCACTCAGAGCCATCTGATTCCACTAGGTCAAAATCGTCCAGATCGCTTTGAAGTTGATCTTTATCATCTTTTCCTAGGTTGTCTGGAGGTATAAAACAAATATTTAAGCAGGTTTTAACTGAATATAACGTTAAATGCCAAATTCTGGGTGGTAGGTGTAGGTCTATTCTTAACTACCAAACTGTATCACTACACTGAATAGGCTATATGAACAATATTTGCTTTTCAAACCAAGAATAACATAACAAAATCTTTCAACAAACCATTGAAATCTCTTTCGGTTTTTATTGGCTCGCCCTGTGATTCGTCCATATCGTCTTGGTCGTCACACTCCTTCTCATCTGAGGTCTTGTTGCGCGGCGACCACGTCATTTTATTTTCCTTCTTGAGTCTCCGGCGCGCGTTGGCAAACCAGGTGGAAACCTGCGTAAGGGTCATCTTGGTGATGATGGCCAGCATGATCTTCTCACCCTTGGTGGGGTACGGGTTCTTTTTATGTTCCTGAAGCCATGCTTTCAGTGTGCTGGTGGTCTCTCTGGTTGCATTTTTTCTTCTTGTGCTCACATCTACAGATCCATATCTAAATAACATGACAAGTAGTCCATGTGTTTTAAAGTTGAAAATTCTGCAAAAAGGTCTTTGATGCAACCAAATTTCTCTTGAATAACAAAAAGGAGGTGATAATTCTTACCCATATCTGTCACACTGGTACTGACCAATTGGGTAGTCGTAATGGTAATATGCAGAGCTTTGGGTAACTCTTGAATGTCCAGTTGCCATCCCTTCTTTCTCACTGAGTTTACCCTAATATAAAATCAAAAATGCAAATAATCACAAAAGAGGTCAGTGAGGATCCCAAAACCTTTCTAGACAGTGCAGATAACATGCATATTTATTGTTATTGAATTGAATAAATGAAATGCATACCAGAGGATAGCATGAGGTTGAATCTGGACCGTAAGAGCTGTAGGTATCATAACTGTGACTCTTTGAACAGGAGTTTCCATAGACAGCAGTGGGGATCAGGTCATGCCGGCTGGAGGCCACAAGCCTACTTTCATATACCGGGCAGTAAAGTGAGTTTTGAGGAGAAGTTGCCACTCCAGTGTCCAGCAGAGAACCATTAGACTCATAGCAGGCGCTCAGAGCATTAGAAGACATTAAAAGCTGTCAACGAAAGGATGAACAGGCTAAAGCAGGTCCTTGAAAAATATGAAACACTTTACACAGCCTTTAGAATATTAATAAAAGAACTTAAGTTTCCAGTATATTGGTGTTAGAAAACAATACTATATTGTTCATCAAGAGATTCTTCACATCTGACTATGAAACCTTGGAAAAGGACACTTCTGCAATACATGTTTATTTATCTTCAAACATTTAGCAAAAGTGCTGGTATACGCATCATGGCCTTATGGATTTTGAATGATTGTCAATCTTTTTCCAATAATTATAATATTGAGGGCAATGTTGTTGGATAATGAATTATTTATCTTTTTGGAAAAAAAAAATTACTGTAAAACTGTAAAATTTACAGTAAATTACATGTAATAAAGATTAAAAAATAAAGGTTATTTATTGGCATGGTTCCATGAAGAATCTTAAACATTCATGGAACTTTTTAATTGCACGTTGTTTAGATTATTAACCTTATGTAATGGTTATTTCAAAAACTGTTCTTTGGAAAACCAAAAACGGTTCTTTTATGGCATCACTTCAAAACTCCCACTTTCAGATCTTCAATCTTAAAAATTAATTACATTTATGGTCTTCAAATCTATAATTGTGCCGTTTTTGGCAACAATATGCCTCCCTGCCATTTCCCATTTTCATGCGATAATTTGAAAAATCATGAAATATTAATTCAACAAAAACATTAAATTAAATCTATAGCTCAAATGAAAAGGTTCTCTGATTTTCCCTTATTTTTTATTTTATTAATGCATTATAAAGGCAAAGTTAAAATATCTGCGAGAGAGACAAACCCAACACAGAGACATTGGCAGGTGTAACCTTTCAACACTCATAAAAATAAGTCAAAAGTATTTTTAAAAAGTAGCTAATTAAATGTACACACTAAATGTTTAAAGGTAAGCATTCTCATCAATGTCCCCTAACTTAAGGATCACACGAATACCTATTTAATTAATTGGGAGCATTCACAATTAATCATAATATTAACATCCCGCACGTATGACACATTTGGCACACTAAAGTGAGGTGTGGAAGTGTTCAAAAAAAAGTTACCTGTGGTGCTGCAGGATATGAATAGCCAAACTGTGTAAATGACATGATGAGTGTCCAGCACAGAGAAAGCTGCAGTCCCGCTGCGGGTCATCAGTTCATCGCGAAAATCGTCCATTAACTGCAGGTAAACGTCCCTTTCTGGTTTCTATTTGTCTTTCATCCAAACAACAATAAAAATAGCAGAAAATGCAGTCTGACACGGTTTCAATGTGGTACAGCCGTAACGCCGAAGTTGAAAAAAATCATAACAAATGTTGGCTCAGTTGCAGGTTGTTTTAAACACCGGTGACGCTGACGTCACGGGATCAGATTTAAAGGTCCAGACAACAAACGCGAATCACGAAAAAAGTTGTTGTTCACATAGCGGAACACTTTATAGCCGCTGTATAACTTGAGAGTCAAACGATGCGCTTGTGTCCCCGTGAGGAGCCCGCGGGGTCTCGCTCACATTAATGAGGACGTGTTCAGTTTCCCTGCCCGCCAGCAGCCAATCACACATCTGACTCAGTGCACAGACAGCTCGATTGCACATGATTGATGACCACCCAGGAACGATTACCATAATTGCCTTTCTATGTAGTTATCAAACACCTTTTGTAGCATTAAATAACATTGGATTTGTTGAAAAAAATAATCTCTGAATTATAAAACCTACATACAAAAAAATTACAGTCTAAGATCGATATCTATCAAAATACTAGGGCCTTAGTTGCTATTGCTGTGAAAAATATGCATTAGGTCAACAAAAACAGACTGGTAATTATTTTAAATTATGAGAGAAAACATAATTTAAAAAAACTTGACTTTCACTACAAGAGAGTTAGATGTGTGTGTCACCTTAATTAAAATAACGTTCTCTCCAAAGTCCCTGAAAGAAAACACACAAATTTAAATGGTGGAAATACATGGAAAGTAGGCTAATCTATAAAACTGCCATTAAAATGAAATGTCTTTATATAAGGCTAGGTTTATCTTCTTCAAAGCATTGTTACTTAAAAGTGACTTCTATTCTTCAAAACATGTTTTGTAACCTTAAAAACTATTATTAATATGACTAAATCAACCTAACAACATTATAAATATTTTTTTACGGGTCAGATCCTATAGAAATGGTTTCTACTGGTGAAGATCTGTCCTGAGGGATGAATAGTCTCTTTCTGTGAAGATCTTTTTCACTTAAGCCGACTCTTTTAAAACCCAAAAGTGACACTGTGCAGTTGCCGCACAGTCACATTTCGGTCCCATATATATATTTTTGGATATCAATCAATCCTTTATCACATACAGTACCTTAAATGTGTCTCTCAGCCACCTCTGTACTCTTCTTCATTGTGGCTAAGAGGTTTGGCTTGGCAGAGTTCATTTAATATGTATAATGCATGAGGGCACTTCAGTGCATTTACTTAACACTTTGTTCCTGAGGTCCAGAAGTCTTTTCATTAGAGATTGAAACAGCGATAGACATCCCCCGTTTGAAAGCACTGAAACCCCCTAATTCAGTGTTCAGACTTTTTTTTTTCTTCTTCTTCTGTTTTTTGTTTTTTTTTTCACAGCAAATGTAACACAATTGATTTCAATGTTGAGCTACCGCACCTGTGTAAAGAAGCTAGAATATCTTATTTGTTTATGCATGCGTGAAACGGTTTATTTATGTTATGGTTATGGCACAACAACTATTTTTTTTTATCTTTCTTTATCTTATGCTAAAAAAAAGGCTTAAAACTAGTTAGGGGTTTAGCATCATTAACAAGGCTCAGCACAACCTATTTTCCTAGTGAGACAAAAAAGTAAAAAAAAAAAAAAAAGAAGAGAGTAAATAAAAAGAAATTGCAGAAAAAAAAACCTTTGTTTTTGTGGTGCATATGAGCGTGATGTGCAGAAGACTCGTAGAAGGACAAACCAATTTATCAGTATGTAAGTAAATAAATGTATAAAGCATTTCCCCAGCCCGCGAACAAAAAGAAAACAACAAATAAACCATTATAGCCAATAGCAGCATTTGGAGAATTTATTTAAATTTGAAGGGATAGCATCACTTAGAGTAATTTCGTCATTATAGTAAATATCAGCATAACAAAGCTTTTATGTATAATGCATTATTTATGTCTTTGTAATGCATCATGTATAGTCTCATGAATAATTGTAAAACTTATCTAATGATTGAACACACCTTTAAAAAGTATAATGCATTAAAAAATATGACAAACACCTATTTCAGATTTTACAAATAATGCATTTAAAATTTGGTTACAATTATTAATGAAAAGATATAATGCATTATAACATACCTTTACAAAGACTTTAAGTAAATCGATGAGCCTAGCATTCATCTCCAAGTATATCTTTTAGTTGTAAAATTGGTAATTAATTATCATAAACCATATACAAAATAAATTACAGAAATATTACTAAGAAATTATTATTGAAATTATTACAGAAATTATTATTTAGAATGTATTATTTATTCAAGAAATATTACACTTTTAAGAATAAAGGTTCCTAAATGGAGGTTTTACATAGAAGAAACATTTCAGAGAGCAACTTTTTAAAATAATCATTTTCTGGTTATCCGTGGAGTCATATGCCAAAAAAAAAAAAATGCTATACTTATACAAAAATGATCTTTAAACATAGCTGAGATATTTACCTCAGGTATATACTATCAACTTTAAGAAAATCATCATGTTCCACAAGCAAAAGTGTTAATACACGAGCTGAGTGAAGCCGAGTGAATTGACAAAACAAAACAATAAATGGAAAACCCGGGATGTAGAATCCATATCCATGTGCTCTTTAAGTGTAGGGATAGTTTAACTCATAAAAACATATCCAGCCAAGGCACTAGACTAGAGTGTTTATGGAAAATTATAAAATGCTTTTATTCAATCATGGCTTAGGCATGTTGAATTGACAAAACATGTTTGTATCTCTCAGATGCCCCCGTCTAATGTAGATCAAAATGAAACTGGCAGACTGTGGGACGTCCAAGCTTTTCAGCTGTTTAAATGGAGCTCCTGGATGGACAGCTGCTTGATAGAGTTACATCATAATCTACTGAAATGTTTGTCTCAATGATTGAGGCCGTGGAAGATGAATGTGTGGAAACGGGTGTGTTTACATAGATGAAGAGACCATCATTCACTGTTACAGGCAAATACAAATTGCCAGTCCTTTGACTGACAGGTTTTTTTGTTGGACTGGAGAAGCAGCACATGAGCAAAAGCTGCATTTCCATTCCAAACTCCAAACACAGACACCAGTGCTTGTTCAATATATGAGCATTCTTTTCATGAAACAAATTAAATGTCATTCATGTGAGTGAACACTCTTTCTTCAGTCTCCAGGGATGGTGACAGTGGGGCTCTGCTGTCTGAAACCGACTTACCTTCAAAACAAGAACGGTATGAATCTCCACACGATTGACCTGAAACCTCCGGCCACTTCCATCTTTCAATTTTTATAACACTTAGCAGTGTCCAAAACCTTCCCTCTCAATCTCTATCCTGCTTGCTCTTGTAGGTTTTGTTTTTTTTGGTCCGGATGGTCCAGGTGGGACCTGCTGCATGCTCTCAGGCAGACTATTGGTTCATCCAGGCAGAAAATGGAGAGTTGGGGGGGAGGACGGGACAGGAAATGGAATGGGAGTTGACTCTCTTCTCACACACTTTAGCCCTGAAGAGCTGCACCTTGGGGACCACTGTCAAGTGATCTCTGACACTTCATTCCCTCTCTACACAAGAACCCTCTCTGACAGACACAAGCAGGGAAGAACTCAACGGAGTCTAAGCACAGTTCAGCACAGAAACAGTGCTTGAAGAGAAAACCTGATAGAGCTTGGTGAGATCAACCTGCATTCCTAAAATTATTAGTTAAGTTCAATATATTAAAGGGTTAGTTCACCCAAAAATGAAAATTAAGTCATTAATTACTCACCCCCATGATGTACCAACCCTGTCTTCGGAACACAAATGAAGATATTTTTGATTAAATTTGCAACATGACATCATGACTTTTGCGTTAACATACACGCCACTTGACTCGACTTATCTCTACGCATTTTGAGCTATCCGCGTGTATGCGGGTATGTCAACGCCATTAACGTCCAAGTAATTCCACGTGTCTGTACACGCCGTCAAATGTCCGAGCGAAACGAAGCAAAATGTAGATCTACATCTGGGGAGCGATCTTTTTTTTCCTAGGATGGTAAGGGAACAGTCATAAATGCCATTAACCCCAGTGACGGTTAGGTTTAGGGACGGGGTTGAGGTAAGTCATATATTTATATATACAGTAATAACGTTAAGTCAACGGCGTTCATAAACACGCTGAAAAGCGATTATGCGTCTTGATAGCACACCAAAAATGGAAATACGAATTGGCGTGTCATACACACGCTACTTCATGAGATCAGTCTGAAATTTGAGAGGTGGATCACTGCTACATAGGCTGCCTAAGGGATCGAAACTTGATGACCCAGAAAGTCATTGAAGAAAATGTTTAAATATTCCATGCGACAACAGTGGCTCAAGTATAAGTTTATCAAGCAGACTTTATTCGACTACTCCTTTTATTCCTTCTGGGCCTGATACGAGAGTTCAAGAGACTTCCACGACGCATGCGCATTCTTATTCTCGCAATTCTCGCGCATGCAGTCCCGGTGACCAGTGAAAGTGCAGTTCTGACTCTCTGCCCATTCATTTAGATAGGAGCCCGGTCTTGTTAGTCTGAAATTAGCTGCCAGGAGGCGTTGCCAAGATGGCGGCCGAGTGGCATGACTTTCCTAAAAGGACTTTGTTCATTCTGAATTGGTCATGATTCTAAAGCCACGTTGCACGTTGATCCCAGGAAATTGCCAGAGCGCTTTTTGTGTGAACGCAAACAACCGGGTTGGGACCTAGTAACGTCATGTGTCTTTCCAGGATCTCTACGGGTTGTGTGAACTTGTGTGTGTGTGTTTTCAATGGGAGCGCCGCGTTTTTTAAATGCCATGAGCGTACCGAGGCGCTGAGCTTTTTTTTTCACGCTGAAGCGCCGAGCGCCCAGTGTTTTTACTGGTCGCTGGGAGTTGAAAAATGTTCAACTTTGGATAAAACGCAGCGCTCATCACTGTCACTTTTTACCCAGCCGTCCAATCACAGTGGAGGAGGGGCGGGACTACCACACCGACCAACTGTCACAACATTCGAACTGCTGCGGATATTCTGTATCATAGCAATGAAACGTCTCAACGGAAAAAACGCTTCCTCAGCAGCGTCTTCAGCAGAGCGTCTAGCGTTTCCAGCCGGCTAAAAACGCTTTGGTGGACACACGGCCTAAGTATTCTATTATAATAAAAAACTAAGTATTCCTCGTTTTTGCATGTTGCTTACTCATTACAGAATAGCCAACCTAGTAAGAGAAATAGAAATGGACTTACCAGCACTGCGTCTTCTCCACCGTGAGCAGAGGACTTTGTTGGAATACCTGGGGTGGATGCTCCTGCACAGCGAATCCTCAATAACCATCTGCGAGGCAAAGTCTGCTCCTACCTCAGGCCTAGTGATAGATCCTCCCAGCTGAGTCATCCCAGAGTTGAAGTGCCAGTCGTCCAGTCCATCCCAGAGCCAGAAGCAGACCACTGCCTTATAGAGTCCCCACCCTCGAATCAACGCCTTCTCCACCGGCCCTGTCCATCTATCTGGATGCTCCATTCTCCTGGTGATCTTCCTCCTCCCTTGTTCTTACCCAACTTTCTGGTCCCATCTTCTCTGCTGGTTATGTCCAGTCCACTGGATCCTTCGGCTCCATTGGTGTCGTGCAACTCCTCGGCTTTGCCCACGCCGCTAACTCCTTGAGGCTCTTAGGCTCCTTCTCTGGCTTTCCGACCACCAGATTGGCATGAGGTTGAGGTCCATGTCTCCATCTTGACCTGTTAGCTCGTCAACGTCACCTTAGCTCTGCCTTCCCTTGTCTCCGCCGTAGACCATCAGCCCTGGGACTCGATCCTCTGGGCTTCCTCGTCCCCCTGGCTCAACATCTGTTAGTCATCGCTCTGCCTCCACCACAGATTTTAGGGTCTCTGGCTGCGCATCGACCTTCCAGCCTTTCCTTCCCTCTGGCTTCCCCGTCGTCCTCACTCCCTCCAGTGTTGCCCTGGTCTGCCGAACCCCAATCTTCGCCTTGGGCCCGCAAGCCAGCAGCTCCACCTTAGGCTTCCAGGCCATGGATGTTGCTGCTCCGCAGGTTTCTCCATGCACCCTGGTTCAGTCTGTACCCAGGTTCTGCCTGTAAAAACTGTTAAAAAAAAAAAACACTTAGTTTAGAAAAATATATATCTTGAACCACCAGATAAGTGCACCTACAACTTGTGACTTTACACTTCTGCCTTTAATGATGTTTACTACCAGATACTTAAAATCCCTTTGAGTGTCTGGATGGGTGCTCATTCACCCAAAACTCCACCCTGGTGTCTCTCTCCACCGACTCCTCATCATCCCTGTCCATCACCTTTTTGGCGACCTCCTCCAAAGCCACAGTTACGGCGCGAGGACGTG